AGAGTTCTAACTTTAAGTTAGATATAATATCAGTCTGCACAAATTTCATTGTGTATTGTGTTTGACACTTATAAATAGGTGTGGTATGTATTAACTTATCAAAAAGAAAATTGGTGTTTCAGCATTCACCAATGCCTCAATACATATTCTTTCATCTCTCTGATCACTATTCTGGCTATAGTGCCGATTACAACTTAAGGTGATTACTGAACTGCAGCTGAACTACATAATTAGACATACTTCACCACCATATAAACTATTATTACCTATAGTTTCAAAATTTTGCATATCTTACCACTTATCAAGAGTTCCCTATTTATCTTACACTTGTGTAAATGTATTTTTGCTACCATATACACAAAAAAGAGGAGAGAGGTCAGCGAGATTGGGGATGGAGGCGAGCAAGATTCGTATGTGGAAATACATACAAATAACACTAGATACACACTAGATACATGTATTGATACCAAATACATGGGAAAGTGGTGAGCAAGATGGGAGAGAAGGGGAAGGGAGGGAGGCAAGTGATATTTGTTACGTAAATGGATACAATCTAGAACAAATTAAACCTAAATTTTGACCTCATATACCCGAGATACATGTCTAGACACCAAAATCAGGTAAGATACGTAATATTGCAAGCTAGAGTGTATCTAATTAGATACTAAACTAGTGGGATTTATGTAAGTTCCCAAAAAATAAATGGGGCATCATAATGGTGATTATTTAATTTTCTATGCTAATTCTAAGGTGAAACGTCATGAGTATTAAGAAGAGAAGGGGAGCATGGATTCAGAAAGACATAGTAGAATTTTTACATCATGTACTTCGGCAAAGTATAAATTTTCGTGTCAAAAATTCAAAATAAAATGTATATATTTCCGCTTACATGAGTACAATCACTATTCATTATTCATTGCCGTGTAGCAAGAAATTCAGCTTTTTTTCCCTCTCGCCTCAAATTATCGAAATTACCTGGGAGGTAGGGCTTGAACTTTCCGCTTTTTGGCAGCGAGAGCTTCATATTGGTGTTCGAGGTGCTCAAACTGTTGGTATGGCTGGCGTCCAAAGGCGTCCTCTTCGGTGAATGCCAGAGGATCCATTTCAGCTCCGAATTGAAATTTATACTCTCCGCTTCCATCATCTTCTTCTTCGTCTACGTCTTCGTCTTCATCATCAGCCTCTTTACTGTTGTTATCTCCGTCGTTGTCCCCTTCCCCTCCCTCTTCTCCGTCTCGCAATTCCAGTTCCAATTCCATTGGGTGTTCGAAGGCATCAAACTCTGTTAAAGTTTTTTCTTCCTCCATGATTGCTGAGTTCAAAACTTTGATGAGTGAATACAAAAAAAAACTCCCCCGTTTTTAAGCACTTGGTTTTTTAATGGGCCGTTAACGGACAACTAATAAGGGCCCAAAGATGAATTTCCAAGGGTTTTGACAAATAACCACTTTAACTTTGTTTATGGATTAGCCATAATTTTAAAACTAATCGAAATTTGAAAGTTACCTACAAAGTCAAACATGTGATATGTATTTAGGGGTCGTTTGGTACAAACATTGATAGTACAGGGATTAGTAATGTATGAATTATTTTTTGTCAAGTGTTTGGTTCACTACTTTTCACTTAATTTTGTGTTTAATTTATAATTCTACAAAAAATTCTTTCATATTATACCATTGTGTTATTATGAGTGTTTATTTCATGTAATTGGGTCAAGGTAGATAACCACCGGACCGGATAATTTTTTTAGAGAATTATTTATTTCATTTAATTAGTTAAATCAAATACATATATATATATATAATTGTTATTAATTTTAAGGTATGATGTACCGCTAAGAAGATCAGTGATGGCACAATGTATTTCTAATTTTTTGTGGGTTAAGTATATATCTTAAACTTAACATAGATTTAAGACTACTTAAATTGTTAATACCTAAAGCTTATTTTATTTTTATTTTTAAAGCAATAGTTCAAGTGGGTAATTGACAAATTATCTTGAATATAAAAAGAAATAAGAAAAAATGGAGAAAAAAATATTAGTAAAATCATTAAATTTTACCAAACGAATTTGGAGAATTAAAAAAGAACATTTATACCCACTCTAATATAAATAAAAAAAGAAATTAAATTACAAAAGAAATTAAAAAAAAAGAATAAAGGGTTAGTTTAGTCATTTAGGAATTTTATCCAAGGTTTAACCTCCATTTTCAAGGGATAAGAAAATATCACTGATGGATAAGCAATCCATGGATTAAATTAAATGAAGTAATCAAACAATATATTAGTTGAATTAAATTTTAATCCATGTATTATTCTACCTAGTACCGCCTACCAAACCGGTCCTTACAGTTATACAATTATAGTTTACAAGAATTAAAATTTGTACATACAGTTAGAATTTATAACTAAAAAAAAATTCCGCTCGCCTCTCACCTCTCTATAACTTTTCTCGCTTGCATACTCCTCTCTTTATACAATTCTAATACAAATTGTAACAGTCAATGATAAAAAAAAATACAAACACACATTATAGCACATAAATACAATAATACACGAGGCAACACATGAATACAAGTACAATCTGTAACAAAATACAATATTTGTACAATTGTATTAATTGATGATATAATCAATCGTCTAAGTGATATAATCGTCAGAAATACAAATTAGTTGTGTATCTTTCCTTTCTCTCCGCCTCCTAGTAGTTAGTTTTTGATATAAAACAATTGAATTCGTGATACAATTATCGACAAGAAGTGTTAGGTTATTAGCATTTTAATATTAATATTTAACATATTAAATTGTTTTATTTTGGAGTTATAAGAATGAACAATGGAATGGATGACTTCTACATCATCCATTAGCATTGGTTATCTATCAATGTATGTCATTCCCAATTCCTCCATTACTCTTTGTAACCTATGTAACTCCCGTTGTAACTTATGTAACCTATGTAACTCTCATTGTAACCTATGTAACCTATGTAACTCTCATTGTAACTCTTAAGGCCATTATCTTCACTATTTACTACCTCCATTATCTTCCTATTCATTGCTAGGAAGACTTCTTGTAGTATAAATAGTGGTAGTTTTCATTTGGTTTTAGAGACACACAAAACACAAGAGAAAACAAAGAGTGAAAGAGTTAGTCTAAAAGAAAGTTCTTATTAGTTGAAGTGAGGTGTTTTTTTTGTGGAGCTTTGGACTCAACTCTTGTCAGAGTTGTTGAGTTATACTTTGTGAAGGCTGTTGTATCCTGGAGGGGACAAGTCAAAGAGGACTACTGCTGGACCGGTGAAAACATTTGCTGCAGCGGGCTTGAATCTCCTTAAAGAGAGCGAGATATCCGCTCCTCAGCCTGAAGAGATTACTTTCTTCATTTTATTTTCAATTGTAATCTTACAATTTTATTATCTTGTAAGTTTTTCACTAATAAGAAGTATAGATAAATTGTATTTCTCTCCTCTCCCTCTCATATCTCGCTCCCTTTTGAATATGATTTGTCTCTTTCCTACTTTTTACATGCAACTATGAATTGTATTTAAGTAAATTATAACTTTAAATCTATGATTAGCTCAAATTATAGTCAATTTAAGTTAGGTAAAACTTATTTTTAAAAAAAATTCTATTGAAACTAAAAATCGAGTTAGAAGATTTTTCTTTTCAATGCCTATGCTTTCAACATCTTAAGATGACTTAAAATTGGTGTGATTCTTTGATGAATTCTAATGTCCGTAGCTATCTTTTGAACAATATAATGTCAAGACATGACCACGGTAAAAAAACAACTTTTAACGCTAATAAATATGCACATTTACAAAAGATATTAAAGTTTTTTTCGACATTTGTTAAATGTCACTAAATTAATGTCACTGTAGACTTTATAAACATTTACAAAGAGTGTTAATTGTCGATAAAAATTTTTAACATATCAATTAAACTATTATCGTAAATTAATTACCACTATAAATCATTTTTGTTACCAGGAGAGACGATATTTAGGTTGATTTTCTCAAATCACAATATTGATCATGTTTAAGAAAATTTACATTCCAATCTATAAATCACTAACATAAAATAAGGAGGACATACAATCATACATTTCCCCCCGATTGAATTAATACATTCAATACAATATATAGTACAGCAACAAACTAAGTATATATAATTATTTAAGTGATATATATATGTCTTTTCAATGTCAATAAATATATATATATATATATATATATATA